CGACCAAAGTTTGGGAAACGAGTCTTTATTAAAACAAGTTTATGGATCAGTCAAATATGTAAGTAAAATCAACAGAAGAAACTCTGGACCCCAAAAGATCCGAAGACTAAGAATATAAATTATTATGATTATTATTATCATTATATTGCTTCTATACATAATTCATTAAAAAAAAATATAAATATATTTAATATTTATCCATTCAAAAAGTCCCGGGTTCGGAAAAATAAAATCTGGCAACCCTAATTGTAAAGACTTGAAATTTTAACCAAATGTTTATATTAGCGTTATATATTTATGATTAAATTTTCAAAATATTTATAGACCATTGACATTTTCGATTTTTCTAATTTTTTTTTTTCTTGAAATACCGATAAAAAAAATTTGGCTTCTAAAAAAATCTTTAAAATTTAATATAAGATGTATAATATATACTGCCTCACTGCAACTCAACGGATCATTAGGCATTGTATTTTATAACCAATTATTTCTATTTTTAGTATTTGCCGTTTATAATATGTTATCGGGAATTTTATTAACAGTTATTTCTGAAAACTATTTCTTTTTATTTTAAAATTAATACCATACAGTATAACAAATAACAATCTGGCTAATAATACAATCATTGTTTATAATTTATAAGTAATGATTGTTTTCGTTATATTTAGTTTTGGTAATCCAGTTGCAGTTGTGTGTCGACTATCGAGTGGTTAGTGCGTTAAATATTTACGTAAATAAATATCAAATATAATAAATATTGTGTCCAGAAAAAATATCCACAAAGTGTGTGATTATTATGATATTACCATGTAGGTGGACAGTACTGCTATAGCAGTGGTCAAATCAATACTGCTATAGCATTAATATCTAATTGCGTTTCTGAAGGTTCTTAAAAAAAAAACCGAAATTCAGAATGTCCATCCATGTGTTAACAATAATATTGTTGATCAAATTTGCATAAAATAAATTTTAAATCTAAAATAAACATATTATATTTTTTGGAAGTTACAAATTATACCTAATAAAAGGCAAAATTATCATAGATACAACTCTATTTAATTTTATATTTTTATTTTTTATAAGTCATATATTGACTATTTTTAGACTATTTTCTAAAAGAAGAAATCTTATGTTTGTTTACATAAAATCAATTTAATTAATTTAATTGTAGTAGGTAGTAGGTACCTATTATAGGTAATTGATAAATTTAAAATGTAGATCCTTCATATTTAAAATGATTGAATAGGTACTTGAATGTATTAAAGCTGTAGGTATGTTGAATCATACATTGTATTGTTTATATTATTTAGATACATACACTAATACAATAATACTATAGCCATCCAAAGTAATTTGATCTTTCAAATTTAAAATTTCATCATTAATATTTTCATTTAAATTATTTGGTTTTCTTTCTCTATTATCGTTTGCCATCACTTATTAGAGTAATACACGAAAGTTTTAATTATATTTTAATATAAAACAAAATAAATTCAAGGAAATTGTACCTAATACACGACATAAATGTAACTTATTTAAATGATCACATTTTGAAAAACAGAAGTACATTAAGACATTAGGCGATAGGTACATTCAAGTTCATATTAAAACCAAATACATATTATTATAAACAAAATTATAGTAAATTACTAACGTGCGTGAAGTTAGCCCCCCGACATTGTCTGATTTACTCCGGACCAATGCCAATATTTTGTAACTCATTTGTAACTATTTGTAACACACTTTTCATAATTTGTAACTCCTTACTTTGGGCGAAATCAACATTTTCCTGATGGGGGACAGCCCCCCGACTTTATCTCATCGACTCCGGACCAACGCCATTCTTTTATATCTCATTTGTAACTATTTGTAACACAATTTTCTGAATTTGTAACTCCTTACTTTGGGCGCTATAAAAAATATTTGATTGGAGAACTTCACGTAGCCCACCAGCGTCTATGAAGTTTCTCCCCTTTCATATGGTCCATATAGTAGACTTCGAAAAAAATTGCGATCCTTGACTCCGGGTGTTTTTTGAAAATTTCATTTTTAGTAACTATTTTTTAAAATTTTCATTGGGTATTATTTTTTTTAATTAATAGACATTTATATTAATTGTATTTAATAATTGTTTGCATTAATATTAATTTAATCTTACCAGTTTTTAGAACTTCTTAATTTCACCATAATAAGCTTTTTTAATTGAGTGGAGGATAATTCACGCAGCCCCCTCCCACTTTGTTCTATTAATTCCAAACCTTCACTTATATTTTACCTTACTATCTCATAGCGTACTTATGTACCTACCTATTTTTGTTGACCCCCCATCAAAAAAATGTAGATTGCGCCAAAAGTAAGGAGTTACAAATTATGAAAAGTTTGTTACAAATAGTTACAAATGAGTTACAAAATATTGGCATTGGTCCGGAGTAGATCAGACAATGTCGGGAGACTAACTTCACGCACGTAAATTACTAAAATAAAATGAATCTATGAGTCAAAATATTCGATACATTTTGTTGTAGTAAAGCTTAGAAGCGCGATATTATGAATAGATGAATTAGTCGACAATGTTGAAAGTAGCAATGTAGCATAATTCCTACGTACGACGTACCAACTACTTAGTATCATTGTTCATTGGTTATAAATAGTATTTATTATTGTACAACCTAAAATCAGATTGTATTGGACTATTTTTAGAAATGCAATATTATATTTTTATTCTTAACATTAAGATAACAATATTAAATTACAACTCCTACTGTGATGATGAAAAGAAATTGGCCAGACAATATTAAAATAATAAAAACTTTTAAGGTATACCTACCTACGGCATAACAAATATAAAACGATGTTTATTGACATGTATACTGCCCTCCTAAGCTAAAAGGCAGTAAGCAACAATGGAGTAGTTTTGAGAAAAATGAGTAAAAAAGTAACATTAGGTATAGCTAGTTGAATAATAATTATATTGACTATAAAAATAACTCATTATAAATTGTATAAATATAACTGATATTGGTTAATAGTTTGTTCGTCAATGTCAGTAGGTGGGAATTATCGGCATTTGTAATTTTAGTTAGCTTATTACTCTTCGTAAACATATTTATATTATTTTATATTAATATATATATTTTTTAAGTATTTTATGGACACATCGAGCAGCTTGAAACGCGTGAGTACGTTTTGTATTTCACTACACCGTTCTTTATTATTAATCACTAAAAGTGTTATAGATGACGATTCTGTCATTTAAATTAAAATAAAATGTATATCCAAAAAAATATTTAACATGCGGTCTTTGAACCTTGTTTATTTTTTACGCGTGTTAATAAAGTTACCTACAGCTTAATCCTAGTATCCAATACCTAATCGGCGTTGACATTCTTATGTCAACTGTATTCAGTAGAAACAAGACATATACATGTACCGATGTATCTGCATATAATGTAGATACTCTTCGATTTTTTTTTGTTATTTTTATCAGAAAATAAATCATTCATTAACAAATGTAAAAATGTAATATGATATTAATATATAAATATATAAATGATTAATTTAACTATTGTTAAAATAATGCACCTACTTAATATAACTGACATAATTTTAAAATTTGATATCTGAGAACTTACCTTATATATTGTGTTGATTCTTTTTGAATTATATAAATTAATCAACAGCAACTTTTCCTACCTAAAAGGAAGTGCTGTATCTCCGATACAAGTATCTTAGATACAATATTGATAAAGGATATGCGATAACACCCGTAAGATGAAATTGAATTTCGGGGGGGGGGGGTATACAAAATTTAATTTTGGCTGTACAAAATTGTACAAAATAAAGTACATTATATTGTACGGTTTAAAGTTAAAATTTGTGAAAAATAGTTGATCCAGGTGCTGGTGTAACGTTACCGTAGCACCCGTAAAATGAAATTGAATTTCGGGGAGGTTTGAGAGTTGTACAAAATAAAGTACATAATACTGCTTGATTACAATTCATGATTTCGAAAGTGCGGGTGCTGGGGTAATGCACCTTTCTAACACTCGTCATTCGAAAATATGAACTTCGAAAACATGACATTCGAAGACATAACCCGCTCCCTTTTTAGGACTACATCATTGGCTACCATAACTTGATGAGAATAACAACTAATTAACTAACATTTTTACTCGTATTGTAAAAATATTGGTAGTCTTAAATAAAAATATACTATTATAAATTACTTGATACCATATACCATAGTATAATAAAGCGGTTTTTAACCTGTGGTCCTTAGCCTTTTAGGGGTCCGCGATATTTATGTCGGGTGTCTGTGGCAGCCTTAACACAAGACATACGTGACATGAGTTAATTATTACAATATTGTTGAATAATTATTATTATTTTTTCATATATTTTTTGTTATATAATAGATGGATATTATCTTTATACGGTGTTCAAAAACTTGTGTCTCAAGTATAACACTAACCATCGCATTAAGTTAATAAAATTAAAATTTAATGATATTAAAAAAAAAATTAAAACTAAAATAATTAAATTTAAATTAAGTATAATAAAAATAATTATGAATATGTATCTTTTGTTGTGTTTACTAATGTTATTTATTATATAAAATAATTATTATAATTTTGAGTTTAATAACATGAGATGTTTTATAAAAAAAATATATTATTGAATAAAAAATTGCTAAATAGGAGGTGCTAATCAGGGGATTGTAATTAACAAAAGGTTAAGAACCACTGATATAATATGTTATATGCTAAATTAGAGAAGACCAAGTTATTGCAGTATATACAATAAAAATTATGGTTTACGTATGCAAGAAGTTTGATGCTATGAGAAGTTCGCAATATTTAAAGCAATTAAAGAATACGATTATTTCATAGACATAAATAAATTTATTATACTTCACTTGAAAAAAATTGATCATACATAAGTAAATAAAATATCAATACTTCTTACTATAACAACATACGAAAAAAAAACACATGGACCCGAATAATCACAACACATATATTAACATATAATTATTAACAAATGTGATATGCATATGAGGTTCATTGCGCAGTGGTAGCTTAATTCATAAATGGGCGTAAACTAGTTTTAAAGATTTTAAGTAAAAAATATATTATGTAATAATTACAATCAGAATAATTTAAAAATTGTCATTCTTCACATTAGTGTCATTTATTGGAAAATTAGTATTTCTAAACAGGATTACATTAACATATATAACTTTCAACGATCCCGAACAACAATGTATTTTTACTTTATTTTTATTAATTTTTGAGTAAAAGGCCACAATTTTATTCAGTGCCTTACTTTATGGGTTAAATATAAATTCAGTGAGTACGGTAAAATATTTCCATTAGAATATTCTCAATGAATTAATCAGTCACATATTTTACCAATACCCGTAGTTAAACCAAATAAAAGACAAAATTAAGTTAATTATATCGCAGCAAAGTATAACTACTTTGAAGGTGTACAAGTAGTATTGGTAACAACTGTATATAATAAGTAGTCTTATTAAATAAAGGTACCAAATTAACTAATATTTTACCCTAAACTACAATTGTATAATTTACAGACAATAATATTCACTTCTGTATGACCCACCATTGTTTTTTATATTTTCCTAAAATAATTAAAAGCAATACTAATAGTATAGTATAAACAAGCGTTGTTGAGATCCCCATAATGATCGATGGGTGGCTCAGCGACCATCCTTTTAATGCAACGTTGTTCATCGTGTTTCCTAATAATCGCATAGGAATAAATTGAGAAAATAACCTCAAGAATTCTGGTTGTCCTTCCACAGGCCATACTGCTCCTAAAAAAAAAAAAAAAAAACAATAATATCAATAGCGTTATGATTATTTTGCAAATAACACGAAGACAAATATATAATAAAATTATAACAAATAAAATATTTTAACACTCGTAAATTACTATACAAACAAACAAATGCATAATATGTAGTATAATTATAATAGCAATGTACGAACGATTTCTATAGTATACATTTTGATATCAATGCAGACATGAAAATATGAAATAATCAAAATAACATTTACATTATAGTCAGTATTAGAAGAGTTACACGTACACAATGAATTAAGATTAATATTTTAATAATACTTTAGATGTACAAAACGATTTAAAAAATAATATCCTATATCAGTTAATTTTAGAAAATAATAAACAATAAAAACCTAAGTATTTACATTTCATAACATATTATGTCGAATAAGAACGCATTTAAAATAATTTCCCCTGTTAAAATTAATTATTTCTATACTTAATGACCAATTTTTCTCAATGTATTCCATCCTTTATTTTTTCATATTTAGTCGCGATTCTATTTAAATTGTATATAGATAATGATGAGTATGATAATTCAAAACCAGTCGTACATTACAAATACATTTATTTATTTATACATTTTTATATATAAACTATTATTGGTGTATACATTAAAAAAATATATTTCCATAGTTCCCGGTTAAATTCAATAAAATTCCGTGGTTGTAATGATTTCAAGAACCAGATTTCAAATTAATATGAAGGTTTATTCCAATAGATTCAATAACGATCGTTAATAAAACTAAACGGCTATATACTGGCTGTTTTGAGCTGTGTTTGTGTGATAAAACACGGGTTCATATTTCGTTGGCGTATAGTCAAATAATTCAATTTTTATGCAATGTCACTTTCCACCTAGACGTTTAGTTAAATGCCTATTTCAAATCAGACAAATAATAAAAATGAAACAATTTGTATTATTTTAAGTATATCCTATTATCTCTAATACGAGTAGTAAATACTATATATTTTTATCAAGTAAAAATACAGTTTCTATTGGTTTTACCTTGGATAATTAACGTGATTACTTGATTGTATAAGAACCTAATCTATATATTGAGTACCACGAGACAAATTATAATCTTATCGATTATAACGAAAAAAATATAACGTTACGGAAAAGGATACAGAACATGCGATTGAATTGTGCAATAATTTAGTTTAGTACGTGTATAGTACGTGTAATTAATGTGTATATGATTGCATGTAATATTGTGACATACTGAAATTTTTTGTTGTATATTTGAAACGTTGATTGCTTTTATTTGAATTTTAAAATAAAATATAATCTAACACAGTAAATTGTTTTATGAAAAATTAATATCAATTTATGACACCAAGATCACCAAGATAATAAAAACCAATGGACTCAGGAAGACTTCGATAAAGTTATAAACGAAATCAATGATGCAAAATTTAATCCAGGTAAAACTTAAACTTAAAACCAATATTATTTTTGTTGTAAATATCATCCGATTGAAATAGAAAATGTTAAATATATTTTTTATAAACTAAAAACTAAAATTGAAAATGTTATTTATGTTGTACCTTATCAAAATAATTTTAAAAACATTGAAGAAAGTCATAAAGCAACTGGTCATGGTGGAAGGAATAAAGTTGAGTAGCATATAAAAAATAAGTATAATATTTCTTGAACAACAGTCCAAAAATATAAGGTACTTATTAAAAAATATGATGTAAAAAAAATGTTGAAAACATGTTATGAACTTGGGTCATAGATAATAAAAGTACCAGGTAGTCAATCGGAATTTATTTTGTACAATAACAAAAAATATATCAAATCATCGAATCTTATTTCATTCACCATATTAAGTCTTATTTGGTACTGAACCAAAAGGAACACTTAGTTCTAAAAACTTACCTGTTAAAATTATTCAAAAATTATCAAATTAAGAATACCTTAAAAATAGTTTACAATAAAATTCAGAACATAATAATGTTGACAATATACCTATACACCACTACCATGACCATACTACACCTAGTCATTTAGTAAAATGCCTGATTTGATTATATACCAACAACTCATATAAGGCTATAACAATATATGAACAATAAGGATAATAAAAATGTTGATGACTAAAAATTATTAAAAATTAGTGCACTAGACGCTGTTTTAAGTGCATTCGTACAAATAAACAAATTCTAATAAACATTAAAGATATAATCTAGGAAATACAATGTAATATATTATAACTACATTTAGTTTAACGTCAAATGTACGCGACGTCTAAAAAAAAACCCCCATAACCTCCATGTTGGAAACGTTAATAATTATTCCATACATGCGTTTTACCTGACAGTAAAAACTGAGACAGCGACAATCCGGTTATCGCGTACATACCACCCACTTTCGTCGTCGACAGCACAGCAGTAAGAACACCTGAAAATAAAGCAAACGTTTCACAGTCAGGATGAATATATATGTCTGATGGTACGTCTATACACCAATTATTTTGTTTCAGTAGTATAAAACTATTTTAAAAGTATTTTGAAGATTGCAATTTTTTTTACTTGCGATTAAAGTAATTTTTAGTTAATTTATATTTTAACTATAGAATGAAATGAACAATCAAGATCTTGATCAATATTTAGAGAATTTACGAAATGTAACGAACAAGTTTTTGAAAACAGAAATTACTGGAAAACTATTTCACAACATTTTTATGTTAGTCGGACGCAATGAGTGATAATCTATCGACACTAATTCATTGATAGGCTGAAAATCGGACCGTTTTTAGCTATCTAAAATTAAATCTAAATACCAACTAATTAATACTTAAACAGCTTACATTTACATTCGTTATCGTATACGTTCTATATGGGTGGTAAATAATACGTATTATTAATTTGCCTAGAAAAAGGGCTCAGATACGATTCGTTTCATCAAAGTAAAATAATGTTTAGAGATCAGAGTGGAGAAATTTATGCATACTCGACTTTTATATAATATAAAATATTATAGCAAATACCACAAGTAACGATCTACTAACCATTGACAATATTAAAAAAATATCAATGGAACATCAAAAGTGCAGATGTACACATTTCGTTTTAAATCATTAAAACGTTGTACTACTTACCAAAGAAAAAGCCCATCCATCCGGAAATCATCAATACGAATACGTACAGAAACAATCCCGATGATACTATTATTGGATTAAAAAACACAGAGTACGCAACGAAGCAAGTTACGACAATTTCCATCGAAATTATTACTGTACACATGCAAAACAGCGAAGTCAAAAGTTCGACCAGTTTGACACCTTGAATGAGATGTTAAGTTATTATTTATATTTTGTATTTATTTATTGGTTCGTTCTTTTTACTAAATACCTGCGAACATCGACCGGCTAAGGACTCCGTCCGTTTTTTCCGCTGACATTACGCTCAATCCAAACATGCTGGGGAAATAAAATTCCGACCTTTAAAAAAAACAAGCAATTAAATAATAAATCAAGTACTATCCATAAAAATTTTAAATATTCGAGTAATATTTATTCGAAAAACTGTATACAATCTATTCGTTTAAATTATGCATCTAAAAATAAATGTTATCAAATCTCAAATGCAACATTCATTCCAATAATATTTTTATAACCTCTACCAAAATCATAATGAATGTTATAAGTAAAATTTAATGACTTTAAAAATAATGTAATATATTAATAACAACCAAATTATTTTGATGTAGCAACGTAAGTCTAATTATTAAAAATATTGTATCATTTTCGTTCTTGGAATAAGAAGAATAAGAATAATAATAATTATATATGAAGAATTATGAATTATGTTAAGTGAAAAATATGGATCTATATTATTTAAATATTAAAACAGTCTATGCACATATAATTTGATGTTTTACTTCAATTGTACTATTTTTTTTTTTTAAATTAACGTCGATCTTTTTATGAAATATATTTATTTTTTCTTTCGTAATATTACTGCTTAAAGCTTTTAGCTTTTCCATTATATCTCATCATTTGTAAATCAATTTATTTTACTAACACTCTTAATAATAATAGTTCTAAAAACTCAATAATAATACAAAACTGTTATCTGTGTTCAAGTAAAAAACATAACATTTACATCGCTATAAATATTGCAATTATTCCATTTCCATATGTCTTAACATCGTTTCCAAGAATAGTATGAAATTCCTAGAAAAAAAATTAATAACAATATTAATCATAAGTGGTGGTTGCCAAATTAGAGAATATAAAAAAAAACACAGTTTTATTTAAAAGATTTTACATACAGGTAGTATTATTTACATCAATACTCTCAAAATAGTGCGTGTAAAATAAACATAATAAAAGTCCATGTTTGAGCGAAATCGAAAAATCACGATTAACAATAAAAAAACGTAAGGTCACAACAATGGTTAGATTAAATAGTATCATAGAGTACCATAGTGTTAATCAAATGATAGCTAGATCGTGCGCAATTTATTCGAATAAGTTAATAGATTTTGAAGTTCATTTGAGGTATTACTTTATTGATTGAGGTTAATTGAACTACATAGATTATTACTTATAACAACATGTTTTTTATTTTTTTTTATCTTATGTAAGCAAAAGATTTATTAAATATATTGATTTGTTGACCATTTTGTATTTTTATCAATGGATGTCAGCTTTTTGCACCACGCCCAATATTAAAAGGCTTGCTTGAACTTGTTCGCAATGAATATTAATATATATTAGCTCCATTATTTTTATTATCTGTTATCTTTTAGAAGCAGAAGTGACTATCACTTTATATTTTGTCAATGATTCATTTCTTAATCTTTGTGACTACTCGCAACTTGGGTACATCCGAAAAAGAAATTATAATCAAATAAATCTATGAAACTATTAATCGGGATATAAAAATAATTATTTTTTCCTTAAAATATATTTTTATGTGGCATATCCTTATATTTTGCAATTAACCTAATGTCATTGATTTTCTAATCAATTTTTATCTAAACAAACATTTCCTATACCAGATTTTCAGTACTAAAAATATATTATCCTTTTCTCTTAAATTCTCTATGCTTATACAAATCGTTATCAAACACTCTATACAGCGTATATATATTTATTTTTAATAGGAATATGTAATATAATTCAACAAAAGACTTACCATGGGCACGTTTATTGTTCTCGGATTGTTGTTACACTTATTTAAAGTTGTATTTATTAAATGATTAAACGATTTAAAAACATCCATCCTAATTTGATTTTTAAACAAAAAATCTGAAATCATATATTGTACCCGTCTTTAAGAAAAAATTAAAAATATGACCGTTTAATGACCATGTTTTTACTTACTTTCATTAGTTAAATGAATATAAGTACTAGACTCTGCTAAGTCTTCTTCTCGGCCTATATATTTAATTAAATCTTTTGTGTAGTTTTTTTGAAAGTAGATAAACGCCATATTTCCGGGATTATTCATAGTCATTTCACCAGCTTCCCGATCTTTCACTTCAATCTAAAAAATGCATATGAAGTTATTTCAAGTATTTTTTTTATCCTATTTCGCAATCAACCATCATTAGCTATATTTATGGAACGGTTTTATATGCACAAAAAATCCTCAAAATATGCTCCTAAATATTCTATAATATGCTACAAAATATACATTTATATTTATATATGCACTTATAATTAAATCGATTTATTTTATTTTAAATCGTCTTAACATATCACAAATATTGTAATACAAAATTGAACCATTGGTTTATCCTAAAGCTTGTTTACACATGTCTGCAAATGACTCATAATAAGTGTTTTCATTTTAGGAATTTTAAAATTACGAATGATCAATAAAAAAATAAAAAAATCACTGGACACAAAAACTGGGAGAGTTTTACATTATTTTTACGTACGAACGCATGACACTGAGTTATCGGTTTCCATAATTTCGTCAAGTTTAATTGTTCATCTCTGTCATATGAACTAATCTATATTAATATATGTTGCATACGAATAAGTTATTTTATTTTTGGCGATAACGACTGGTCTTCGTTTATCTAAATCATGTGGCTGTGAACGTGAAAATATAAGGTAAAATAAATGTATATGCTATAACTAAAAATATGTAAAATAAAATTAATGTTATTTTAATAAGAATGATCTGAATCGGGGAAGATTCTCATCAGGTTTCAAAAAACTTAATCCAACACACATATGCATTTGCATACAAATCCTTCCCTAGATATGTTACTTTTTATGCATATCAACATTTCAAAATAATAAAAATTATCACCAATCAATGTTTGAACGAAGAACTTACTAATTTGTAATTGTGTGATGCAAAGTAGTCCAGTACAACACAGCTCATTGTTTCATTGGAACTTTCGTCTAAAATACATCCTTTAGTACTATAATTTTGACAGGATTCATAATTAACTTCATCGTTTTTAAATGTTATTGGCATATTTTTGAAGTCTACTCCAACTCCAAAACAAAAATTAAAGGCTTGCAATAGGGGAAGTATAATTAAGGTAAACACTAACCTATACAAATACATGTCATTATAAATAATGTGCTTATATAGTTATACTTATAATTAATTATTAGTTATGATTGGCATAGTGAAAATCAAAGTTAGACTCACACGTAATCTCTAGAGCATACTTGGAAATTTTTTTTAAACAAAGCTTTTAGCCTTTGAAAATCAAAGTTTTTTTCTAGTTGCGTTAACTTTTTCGTCTGTGATACTTTTTTTGCCGGAACATCTTTAGCGGTATAATTCTAGGCAATAAAAAAGAAATAAATAAAAAATAATGTAAAGATAAATTATTAGGTAGATATATTATTTAAAATTTTTATTTTTATTTTCTATGAACTCGCTGCCATAAGATGTTGTTAGAGATTAAACGAAATTGTATAAATTAATAATTGTTAATTGTGATACAGAAGTTTTTTTTTATATTGATCTTTGTTCGATACTTTATTTGTGTGAAATACGTTGGTTGGTTCAAAAAAGTCTGTGGAATTTTTCAATTCTAGGCCAATCGTCTTAAAAAGAAAGCGAAGCTGCAGGTGACCAGCCTCGAACAAATGACTATGCGTTTAGCCACAGCAATTTTACATTACACGGCTACGACGCTTCCTCCACTAATATTTATTTTTTTTTATTACTCTACACCAACAATAATAAATATATATGATATTTATACACCTTAGATCAATTGGTAATATAATATGGTTCAGTTTTTCACACAAAACGTGGGTGTAAATGTATGTATGTTAAGGATACATAAAAGTAAGGAAGGTTTAAAGGAAGTTTATAGAATCTAAGCGATATATTTTACAGTATTATCAATACAATAATATCAATATCAATATTAATACTGCTATTGATGTTAATTTTGCGCATCAAGTGCAAATTAAATGTGTTTTTAAAATGTGTAAAGGGTAAAAGCAAATGTAGTTAAAATACTTCATCCATAAGAAAAAAAACTATTAAAATCCACTACTTCACATTGATAATAGATAATTAAAAATTAGAAATTTTGAGTCAAAATACTTCATTTTTGTCTTGATTGCAGCATAATTCTAAAAAAGCTGATTCCAATGAATCTGTATTACTTTTGGAGAGAATATCTTGAGGTGATCCTTCATCTATAATAACTCCATTTCTCATCAGGCCAATCTACAACAACGATTTCAATAATAGTCATTCATGAAAAGTTATTTGTATCGTTGAATACATTAACAACGATAATTCATGTTTATAATTAAAATATTACATCATCAATAATTCAGTGTTTATAAAAAGTCTTTAATCAGTTGTTAAGTTTTGGTAGTGGCGTTATATTTTCTGTTTTTTCAAAAAAGAAAAAAAATTACAAAATATTAATTTAATTACTTATAGACAAACTTACACAGTTAGCCTGATTAGCTTCTTCGATATAATGAGTAGTTATTATAATGGTTTTTTTATGTTGAACAACCATCTTTGTGAACTCAGTCCAAATACTATAGAATATTGTAATTAATTTATTCGAATTCAAATAATTTATATTTAAATAAATAGTTTACTCGTTTCTCAGTACAGGATCAATTCCGACTGTTGGTTCATCCAAGATAATCAATGTTGGATCATGCAATAACGAAATAGCCATTGATACTCTTCTGCTCTGCCCACCACTATAGAAAATAAAAATAATAAAATAATATTTGATTAATTTACAAAATTATTAACACATATATAAACATATATATAGTAACACAAATATTATAAATTTCATTATAATAATGATTTTTTAATGATTTATGCATGGTTAACTGTAATTGTAGTCGTAGTATGTAAAATCAAAATCAATAACCATATCATTTTATTTTTTTAATATGTTTCATGCTACTTATAGAGTAATATAAAAAATGCACTATTAAGTAGAAATCATAATTTTTTATCAAATATTTTCAATCAATTATGTATCCCAACAACTCAATAGCATCTGCATACAAAATAAATAATATCGTAAAAATGTTTGATAATTTTAGATAAATATAAAATATAAAGGAATAGAATTCCCTCGAATAATTCAGAAATTTTTTTTTATAAAACTATTTTTTTTTCTTTATGCTTATTCTAGGCCGTTCAGATCCATTGCCAATTCCACTATCTCCCTCCATGCATCTATGTATTCTGCCAGTTCTTCTCCGTTTGTAACTCCCAGCATTTTGAGACCATCCTCGACTCTGTCCTTCCATCGTTGCCTAAGCCTTCTCCTCGGTCGACTTTTGTTTGGTTTCCATTTCGTGATGGTCAATATCATTTGTTCTTCTGCTCTCCAGACGTGTCCGGCCCATCTTATTCTTTAGCTTCTGAGTATGGCCGCTATATTGGGCTCATTAAATAAAATATTTAGTTCTGTGTTTGATCTTATATAATTTCTTTGACTATCTTCTCAGTTTTTTCCCACATCTCATCTATACTGCTCTCCTCTTCTGTTTATCGTAATATATCATTTAACCAATATTTGTATTGTTCTGCTGTTTGAAAATTTCTTAGTGCTTCAATGTTTATCTTTTTGGCAGGTGCTTTACGCTCTTTCCATTTTATTTATAGTCTAAATCTGACTTTGGGTTCCACTATGAAATTATCTGATATTCCGCTACTCCCTCTCATGCTACATACATCCAGTATACATCTTCTAATTCTACCATCTACTACTACATGATCTATGTTCGTAAATGTTTTTATGAGGAAACGTAATGCTACTGATTACCATGTTTCGTGTCATAGCAACATTTATCAGTCTTGTATCATTTTCATTTGAATTTACGTGTAAGCTATTTTTCCCTATTGTTGGACTAAAGAAAGGTTCTTGACCTATCTTAGCGTTAAAATCTCCAAGTAGTATTTTTACATTGCTGTTTGGTAATAGGTCACATACTGTTTCCAGTCTTTCATAGAATTCAGTCTTAATGGCCTCATTTTTATTCTTTGTAGAAGCATAGCCGTTGATTATAACTAAGTTGTGCCATTTACACTTTAATTCTAAATAGCATATTCTATCATTAATTGCTTCGAAGCGTTTTACGTTAGGTAGCAGTTTGTCACTCACGACAAAGCTAACCCCTGCTCGACGATCCAGTTCACCACTGTAAAAGTAGGTCCAATTATTTGATTTTAAATTTCCTATTCCTGGCCATCTAGTTTCTTTAATAGCAGCTATATTCAGTTGATGTCGTTCATGACTCTATATCACTGTCGTCAAATATCCAGCCTTACACAACGATCTTTCATTCCAGGTTCCTATCGAGAAGTCCTTTAGCTCTACATTTTCCATCTGAAGCAATTTTGGTTGATTCATAACAATTTGTTTCTTAAGAGGTAGGATTGTTAGCCCTACGCTCAACTCCTAACCTGGAGGACCAGACTTCCCCAGCTAATTAAGGCCAGGGTAGGGCTATTGCGGTGCACTTACTCAGATATACCGGGCGATGAGGACGCCACATTCCCTATGCCTTATTTTATTTATACAACTATGCATAAAAATAATTTAACAGTTTTAGTTGTAATAAATAAACAGCTTGTAACAGGCGTGGGCCCTGTGGCGTATTTTCAAATTTTTATATATTGCTAAAACTTATGTTATAAAAATTACATATGAGATATGAATATTTATATTATTTTATTATCATTCTTCTTCTTCTTCTTCTTCTTTCTTGACTTTACAACTCTTTAAGAGTTTTGGCCGTCATCGTGACGGTTCTCAAATAGTCACAATCCTGTACTCTATCTTCCCAATTTATCATTTCCAGTGTTTCTAAGTCCTTCCTTATTCCATCCATCCATCGCTTTCTAGACCAAACCATTTGAATCTTTGACACTTAATTTGGCTTGTTAATAATGGAACTTCAGTGATTTCTCTTAGTTCAGTAGTTTTTCTTCTACGCCATTTGCTTAGCTCACTATCAAACATTGAACCACAAATCTTCCTTAGTATTTTATATTCAAAAACTAATAGATTTTTTTCTAATTGTATAGTAGTGGGGCATATTTCACATGTATAAGTTACCATTGATCTTCTTATGGTCATGTACAATCTGATCTTAGTTCTTATTATCATTATAAATACAAAAAAACTGAACGTTTTTTTTTTTTTTGCTAGTTTATCAATAATTCTTCAATAGTTAATATATACATATTTCTTGTTTATTAATTACATTGCAAAGCCGCAACTTCTTTTTTCTTTTGCGGGAGTCAAGATCTCAGAAACATTTCCAACCAAAAATACGGCACTGTCTACGTTATTTGTATTAAAATATGTCAAATTTTCAATTATTAAACAATACATATATAATAATTTACATACCTTAAATATTTAATGTAATTATCCAGGTTTGGTAATTGCAGAAATGTGTAAAGTTCACTTTTTCTGATTTCTATACTTTTCTTATTCATGTTATACAATGTTCCGTAGTATTCAAACGTTTCATTTATTGTCAATACTTCTTCCAAACATAAGTCCTTCAAATGTCAGATATTATTAAAAACAGCAATATTATTTATTTATTTATAATTAACGGGATAGGCCATTTTATATAAATAGTGTATATGAAATGATTAAAAATATAACTAAAAACATTTACTTGTGGCATGTATCCAACTTCCTTCAATCTATTTATTTTTAAATCAATAGTACCAGAATCCAAAGACATTGTTCCTAATATACACTGAAGAAGTGTCGATTTGCCACAACCGCTCGGACCTAAGAGACCATAGCTAAAGTAACAAAAGGTTGCATTCATTATTGGTATTCATTCTTATTTTACACCATGAAACATTTTATGGTTAAAAATTATAATAATTATTATTTACACCCTTTTTTTATTATTATCAATTTAAATCATACAAATGACTTAGTAACAACAGTGAGTAGTAAAACCATAAGAGATTGTTTTAATATTCAATATGCATATAAATTGAAAACCATTTTGTGTTAATCAATAAAATTATGGTTGAACTTTACCGGATAACTTTTAATTTTTTTTTATTTTTAATGAGTAAGTTCTAATATAAGTAATTGGATAATGAATAATCAAATATTAAGTAATTATATAATTATCATAAATAATTAATAGCGAGAGCGTACTAAGAGTGAAGAGATAAATATAATATTACTAACATAAATAAATAAAGGAATAGTTTATAGGTTATAATGAAGTAAATAAATAAGTGTTTAGCCTGAAATACTATTACATTATCTACTTCGTATATACCTGATAGTTAAGTTTCGAAACTTGTCAATTATATTCTAATAATAACTTTCTCTAGTCTAAGCACTTATTTATTTATTTATTTCTATATACAAATGATTTGTTTATTTATTTATATATTAATTTATGATTACTTACCATTTAATAATTTTTAAGTTTAATTTTTTACTATTGATAATATTATTAAGGAGAAGGTATAGAATTTAGAAGGCGGAAGCAGTTGTTTTAAAAGGATTAGTAAATTTATAATAACATCGAAATCCTTGAGGAAACTGAAAAACAAGTTTTCGGACATAGTTAAAGGTGGAGTGTTGGCAATAACATGGGCGTTTTTGTTTCCGATGAGAACTGAAACTGATAGAAATATTACTTGGTATGTTAAAATTGTGGGTGAAATGATGGTGGAGCTTATTATTATTATATTTCCCGCAATTTTCTATGATCTTTTTGTATACAAGACATTTTTAATACCAGACCATGAGCGGCCATGTGCATCTAACCCACTTGACGGGTTCTGGTGGCGATTGTATACCGTCCGAAGAGTAATAATAATTCCGCATTCAACAGGAAATTAGTGACTATAACCAGTTGTGTGAATGTAAGCCTTGTAATCGTAACACTGTGGAATCGTGAGTTTTTTCGTCGACAACTCTACGTTAACTATGACATGGAGAAGCAAACATATTTTGAGAATTTCATTGTTTTTCTCGGCAACTTTTAGATCAATACGTAATAAATACAATGGGCCTAATGTTATAAGATGTGTATTATTTTGAGCAATAACCTCGCGACCCATATCTGTTTAGAATACTTGAATATCGTCCATGGTATTGGACGGATGGGTATACCTCATAAATACGAATATACGGTTTCAATAGATTAGACGAGAATATGCATAATTCGATCTGATCGTTATCGCATTAACTAAACGATAATTATTTGAGCCGTCATAGCGTATGATCTCAAATATTTCGGAGTATTTCTGAAACATACTCCCAATGGGTCGACAAGATCAAGTGAAGGAATTTTTTGAGGGTTGAAAATTCGACTAGGAATTGTACTTGAAAATGTATTAATCGAAGAGGTTTCCATGTCAATGGATGCCATACTGCGTTGGTATTTAGATAGCTTTGAGATAAATGGAAGGCTAAACACTTCCTAATGCCTGATGAAAATCAGCTTCTTTGGAGAGGCATAACTAATTGATATAACGAGCACATTGCTATTTTTATCAGTAGTTTTTCAAGACGAAGTTTATGACAGTGATAAAAAATTGCGATCCCGCATTACGATCGGATTTACAATTATTTAATTAAAGTCGTCAATGGAATAAGTGATAACAGACGATCGAAATTTATGATCACGATCAAATGAGATTAAACTTAAGTTCTCACGTTATAATATACATTTGTTGAATCTTTACCTAAGGCAATGTCTTTTATTATCCATACTGTTTAGTGTGCACAGTTAACTGAAAATCTTGGTTGTTAAATGTAAAAAATCTTTTAAAAAATCTTTGGAAAACACAAGTAAAATGAATATCAGAGTATACTGTTTGACTTTGTAATCTGTTCTTTTAAGACTTAAATTTTAACGCATATAATAATTATATATATATATAGTTACAACCGACATGTCGTGTTTTATAAAATTAAATAAAACGCTATCCTGCATTAAGGCGAATAGAAAAACGCTCAGTTGTTTATTTATTTTTATATATTATATGTGAAGAAATAAATTTTTTATATTCTTAAAGCCATAAAAGAATTATGAACACATTGTTAACAGGATTTGAAACGGAATTATTTCGGGCGTTTAATTCAGGCAATACAAGCGCTCGCGTGCGTGCTGTGCAGCAGTAATGTTTATGCGAAACAAAATGTAATAAATGTTAAAAGTAAATTGAATGATCATCTGGGTGTGTAATTTCTTCGTACTACCTTCTAGTGTTCACATGCATATGCACATATGTTACCATCTATGAACTCAAAAGCATATAATTTTCCCAAAATATGATGATCAAAAGCAGAATAATATTATATCTAATCAGAAACGTGACATTACAACTATGAAGACAGATTTAACCAAATCAATTTTAAATTTTAACGCTTAATTAACTCAAAATATTTTGAAAATCATTATTTTAATGACCATGTTTGTAAAAGCTTCTACTGTGTATTTTGTAACGGTTTCAAAAAATATTTCATTCAGAATAATACGGTAACTATCTTGAGAAAATAAATGAAGACGGCATATCAACAACACACTAGAGCAAGAAGGAAGTAAAAATATTGAAAAATAAGGTTGTGACCGAGAAGCAGAAACATTTACTTTGCACTGGTTTTGATGTAAAATATAAACTGAAATGAACTAATAATTATGAACTACAACGACGATAATGTATAATTAATATATATATATATAAACAAATATTTTATACATAGAAATAAATAAACGAATACATTTTTTATTAACATCGTATACCCCTGATGATGAATTTATAATTCTAAACCGGTCGTAACTTACGAACACAGTCAATTACGTTTCATAAAGACTTGCACCGATTCATAAGGACAACCGCTTGGTCGGGACAATTCTTCAATTACAAAAATAAATGTATGGTCGTGGTATAAACGTTCACCGCTTTCCTGGGCCACGAATCCGCATAATAGGAAAACGTTTATCGAGTATATTATTTCAATTCAGATTTATGATTCAACAGTATTAGCGCAGTCGAATTAAATTATTAAACTTAATTTATCTTTCTATTATGTGTTTATAGAATTAACTTTATTATGCGTATGTTCAAATGTGATGGGATATCACCTATTTGTTGAGTGCAGTAACGATGTCTCGTATTGATATAAATGCAGGAATGATTTCAGTTATTAAACGATTGTTAAACGATTAAAGTATTGGGATAGAGAGTTGGAAAAAACAAAAAAAGTCTATATGCCTCATCTTAGGCAACTGTACTGCCCATTCTAATGTATCTTTGAAAAACATCAAGGTTGCATTTTTACCTCCCAATACAACGTCACCAATGTAAAGGTTAAGTATAGAGCAGCGGTTATTATTTTAAGCAGCGGAATATTTTGTTGTAATAAATATTTTATAGTTATCTTATGACAAAATCAATTTTTCCCCTGGAACTAGTTTATTAATTTTTTTTTTTTTTTTAATTTTCCGGACTCCATTGTAAATGATTTGCCGATCATTGCTATAGAGCAATACTGGTCAATTACATGTTAAAAACGATTGATGACATTTTACTTCAACCACAATCAACGGTTATCAGTGAACAAATTTATATCATGTAAGCAATTTAATTTATTGTATAAAAATAAGTAATCGATGAATTTGTATGTTACTTTATTTTTTTATTTTAGATTATTGGGATAACCACTTGGTTGGGACAAAATAACACGCAACCAATGTATGCCAATAAAGTGGAGTATATGGTATAATAATACTATAGGCTCCACATTTATTTATATAAGAATTTACGAGTGTTAAAAATGTACTACTAATTTTATATTTTTATTTTATCTTATATTATTTTATTATGTTTTTTTTAATATTAATTATATAAGGTAGGAATAATTTATATACACGAATGCGATTTGTTCAATAAGGATAAAATAAGTTCATATTGTTATACGAAGTTTCAAAGACCTGTTGGCCCTGGAGAGATGAATTCCTTTAAAAAAACTCGTTTTCCCATGATCGTGTATCTGAGAAGAAAATATAAATATATCTACGTATTTAAATTAATCTGAAGCCAACATACTTCGTTCGATTGTTTGATAAATAAATTTATCGGGTCGAACTTAGAGAAAATTAACGCATTATTATTAACAGGTATGAAAAAATCAGAAAAATAATATTATCTTCAAATATTCAAGTGGTGCAGATATAGCACACTGCATTATATGTACCATGAGGATAGTATATGTATAACATATCACTGTTACTTAAGCTTTAGTTTAATAATCTTTATGATAAATTAGCTTCATTTTTTTTTTTTTTTATTCCAAGATAAATAGTTAAATTTGTTCATACTCATATTGGTTATTTTCCAATGCTTAAATTAAATCGTCCCGATTTTCTTTTGCGACAATAAAACCCAAATACGTTTTTTTTAAGACTAAAAAATACAAACACTTTTTCGTAGGTGACATATAATGGTTTTACATTTTATGATATTAAAATCAATGTACGTAGAATATAAATTAAAACAAATTTGTTACAAATAAAATATTAAATATATATTACGATATTGAAGAATCGTAGCTTCTTGAAATTGCTTTTTATATGTTTATTTTGTACTTTAAATATCCATGCAACCGTTGCAAACTAAATAATAATTTGGTTAATTAAATAAGTTTTATATTTAACACCAACGAAACAAGTTTAAGGTAACTAGAAAAATAATTGTATATTAATATGCAACTTGTTATAAAAAAATATAGACCTATGTATTTTTGACAAATTTATATCTAACTAATACTAACCTGTAAAACCTTTACATATATTATATATGTAAAGGTTTCTTTTTTATATTTAAAATTTATTTTTAAATTATACTTCGAATATCTCAAACAAATTCGATAAAAAAATATTTCCAACTTAATTAACACGGTTCTACATCAAAAGAGCAAATGAAAAATAGCGAACGCATATGAGCGGAAACAAAAGTATGAAGACAAAATGAGCGAATGAATACACCTAAATAGTAACTTAATCAAAAAATAAAAAAATATATGTAAAATTACATATTATACATATGTTAAACATATTTATAATAATTACTTATGTAAAAAATACTCAACTCAAATAATAAATTGTTATATTTATTTTTAGTTCATTTGTAATTTTATAGATTTCTAGAAATATTCCCGTTTACTACCGCAGTATTGCAGTGTTTGTTTATATATTATGCCAATAGCCTAAACATATTACAATATAGAAGCAAATAGTTTAAACACATAACAAAAATGCTTCCAATAGATAACACTACATTCTAATAAATTATTCATAAAGACATTAGCTCATACTGTACAAATAAATCAGTTTAACTTGGTCTAGTAAAAATGTCCACAATGTGTATTTTACAAAAATAAATATATATACTCTATTAAAATCCATATGAAACCAAAATAAAATTACAAACTCGGTCATATTAGAATATTATTTATCATTTTTAACATTTTAATATAATAAAAATCCAGATTGTTCGAAAAATTAAAAAATGCCTTAAAAGCGGAACATGTTTATTCGAATAAGAAATATAAATCGGATCCAACGTAGACTAAACGTAAAGCAATTAATTAACAACAATTACTTACTCATTATGTCTCCACGTAAAACATTAAAATGTAATTTAAGAGAATAAACTCTCGAAATAACATAAAGCATCAAAAGCTGTTAAGTCATAAAAAGCTCTCAAACTATTAGCACCTATCACAAATTTTAAATATATTTATGAGAAAAAAATTAATCTTTTACCACACCGATTCGACAGAATAAAATAAATAAATATTATCAGACATACGTGCAACTCCTCTTGGGGTCCAATCGAACTGAATATTAGCAGTGTTTTAACGCATATACATAAAAAAAAACATTTTTTTAATTTAAATCACTTAAAAGCAAATTCGCACGCTCTAAACTTCACTATAACAAATAATCTATCAAAAATATAAGCTATTACGTCCAATCAAATATAACAAAAAAAGATAAAACAATATAAATTTCATTTTCAATAATTTACACTTGTCACACATGACTAGACAAGTTTCAATACATATATTAACAGAATACATAAAAAAATATATACCTATAGATTAATGAAAAAAATCGTTATTTTACATTACTCACTCAGTATTATAATAATATACAACACTACAAATCAATTAGTAAAAAAATATAAGAAAAAACTAAATCTGGTTTTGCTTTTGATATTAAGAAGTGTCCAAATAATATAATCATACTTATCAAATATATTTCAAATAAAAACGCAAATACTTTAACGAAAAAGTATATAAATATATTTTTCGATAAACAATAAGTATTTAAAGATAAAATAAATAAATACATTAGAAAATATTTGAAATAAATTTAAGCCCAATCATATAATGTTTACCTACGAAAGATTTTTATGGCTGAAACAAGCCTAATTATTTTTTTGGATATGTGGAAACACGTAGTTTCATTATAAATTCAGTAGCACAGAAGTTATGAAAATTTCACACCAACATAGGTAGTCTCCGTCTTACAGAGGTACTGCTATCAAATATGCGCCCAGTACCCAATTTAGTATTGTATTACAAATAAAATGTATTTTCAATATGTGATGATACATTCATTAAGTTCTCGCAAAACTTAACGTAAAAGAATAATTGAGCTTATTTAGTATTTAAAATATAGTATTTAAAAACATAAAATCGTAAAATAATATTTTTTAAATGTTATTTATTTATTTATTTTTTTTTAACAATATATGCACTAGCATGTTTAAATCGGAAAAGTTCAACCACGTTGGTTTTTAGAAAAACTAAAGTTACATTCTAGAAATAAATTTTAATATCGTTCAAACACATCAAACACAATTACTTACATTGAACCTGATGTAACATTCATATTCAAACCATTAAATACGTTCTTTTTTCCATAGTTCTTGTACGCATTTGTTACTTGAACTTCATATTGGATGTCTTCGTTAATCATTTTTAAATAATTTTATCACTACTCACTAAATATTTGTATTAATGTTTACAATATGATACACAGCACCAATTTAAGTATTTGCTAGACGTTCGTATGAGTCAACATTTTTTCTTTCAAAAAAATAAAATCAATGATTACAACTTTAGAACCTGTACCGACCACGGGCAACGTAAAAATAAACGATATTTCATGAACGGTTCTGGCATATTACCAACAGTATACCATGTAAACGTGAACATGGTTGATATATTGCGTGGTGAGGGAAAATATTAGTAGAGTGGAGTTGATCAGTATCGGTAATAGTTTAGTGACATGATAACCTTCCGTGTCTTATCTAATTTCAATATTCTTGTTTTAACTAAATTTCAATCGTAAAAATTGAAAATATCTAAAAACAATTAAAACTTAAGTTATTACTATTACAATATAATATGTATTAACGATTATGGCAACAAAAAAAAGGGTTCACATTTTATGTTCTAACTTCCGCAACCAGAAAAAAGATATCTAGAGCTTGAGAAAATCGAATATTTCAAGTGCCTGTACAAAGTACAAACGTTGAATAAATATTTCGCAACTATGGACCATCTTTAATATACTAATATATGTTATCTGAGTAAACGTTTTGAGCCGTTTCAATTAATATATTTGATAGAATATCTAATATCGTTAATAGAGATTCATTGAAATATCCGATTTTATCAAGATGACATTTAAAAATATGCTTATAAAAAATATGTGCAACTTTACAGTCTTTTTTTTTTTATTTTTATTGTAATAATCCAGTTTCATAGAACAACAAAGAAAAGCGTTTCAGTCGTAGTACCTAGACTAAAAAACTTACATATACCAACGCCTATAAGAACGGATAGAGTTTAAAAATTACAATAATTGTTTTTTTGTTCCAATTAAAAATCAAACTATCAAAAATTGGTTATCCACATGAATATATTTAAAGATATATTTATTATAATGATATTATTAAAGTTCAAGTACTAAATACTTTGATTTAATACTCGTATAATATTCTTTTGTTTTAGAAAATAATATTAACATTAACACTCAAAATAAAAAAAAAGGTAACAAAAGATAACAATTAATATTTTTTTTTAATTTCCTTTGCCCTAAGCTATTATAAATAATAAATATTTATAATTTAATTAAATTAATAATTACATTTTAATGATTAATTAATGTTTTAATAATTTTTATAAGATTAAAACGTTAATATAAAATTCGTATCCGTATGATATATTACCTTTGTATTTCGTCTAATAACTATAAGTACGCAAACAGTTCAGTCTCAAAGATGGTCAGTCAAGGAGTATAACATAAAATAACATAATTAAAATACCATAAACTTTAAAAAAAAAAGTGTATAATACAATGTGTTTAAGTATTAGTTTCTTTGAAATACTAAATAAAATACAAAAGTATTATTAGTTACGTTAAATTTATAATTTCTTGTTTCCAATCAGGGTAAATAAAAACAGTTTATTCCTTCAGTAATCACCACAAAAAAATTAAATCTTACATAATATAATAACGTCGTACTTTAATATGATTTAAACAGTTCATTGGAGCTGGATTAAAATAAGGTGTATTAGTAAAATGTCTTATGAACTCAAATTTCACAAATTTATGTATGAATAAGGGCACACAATAAACTTTTCACATGAATGTTCAACACTGACTAATGAAGTATAAGCATATGAAAATTTTACTTAGTTACCAATCTTGTTTTAATATAAGTATTTTTCCTTTTAAAACTTATCAGTTTTACTGTGAAAACGATGTATTTTTATATTTGTAATAGAAACTTTAACGTTTAATGAAATTTAATATATTCTTTTTGAATTTAAATGCTAGACATCCAAATTAAAATCTTCAAAAAATACTTTGTTAATAGTAATATTTTTGAAAAAAAAAACAAGGTGTATCAATTTTCAATTACAAATGTGTTTTTACCATAAATATTTTATAAATTAATAATATCTGTGACTAAGTTTCCTTATAATAAGTAAACTAAATATCTTATTAAATATTTAATAGATAATAAATATAAAATGAAATACTTATTGATTTTGATTAAACATAAAACCAGTTTTATTGATCTTCAAAATTATATTAACCTCTAATTATTCAACAAAAAAAAAAAAATATATGTATATCAATAAAAAAACCGTTCAATTTATAATTTATTTTTTCCTCTCGTTTTAATATGCATTTAAATTAGTGACAATACTAAGATTTTATAAATTACTCATAAAATATCATATTTATGAACTTATAAAAAGCAGTAAGTTTTCGAGTTCACAGACTAAATCGCCATTTATGTATAAGGAGGAAAACAGAGGCTAAGTGTTATCTAAGTATGGCTCGGATTTCAATCCATTTATATTTTATTTTTTATTTTTTTCTAATGTTTTATCCAATGCTTTTCATGCTACAAATATGTTTTAAGTATTCCATGTTCTTGCCACGAAAATTTTTATGGTATTTTTTTAATTTTTATCTGATTTTTTTACTTTTTTAATGTTTTTAATGCAATTTTTTTTTTTTTTTTGAATACGTTTTTTGCAAATTTTTTTATATCACAACTAAAATAATTGACTGCATTGAAATAAAAAAAAAAAATAAACATTGTACATTTTCAGTATATACAGTTTTGTTGGCCGGCAACCATCGATCATTTAAATTTCATAATATTATCGAATAGCAGTAAGCATTTGAGGGAAACCGAATTGCCATTTATGCACAAGGAAGAAATAAGACACATATTAAATATGTATATCATTCTTTCGAGAAATGTAGTAAAAATTAAATTTCCCAACTCTGCTATATGTGTGATCATTTGGATACACAATTTCGGCAAGTAGCGTATGCCCAATAATAATAAAATACACCGTAACAGTTAAGAGTATTACATCCCTGGGTAATTTTTTTTTTTTCAACCACGCTCTATACACGGATCTATCGATACATAGATGTGTCTTAATCGCAACGTAAACGAGTAAAACGAACAGTTTCATTAGCTGCGTGATTCGGTTATCATAGTGTAAAAATCATAGTCAAATAAATTTCATGGACACACATCGCACGAAAATCATTTGCCGCTGGCGACGTGTGTGATATCCCCGCGACGTTTTGGACAACTACTTTAGCACTAACTACTTTAGCACGACCCCGCTCCTAGCAATACGACACAATATCCATGTTAAAACAGTGCTCGAATGGGCAGGGGGAGTATTTAGGGGGACGGATCTTCTGTATTATTTTTTTTTTTTTTTAACTATGTGAGGGCGACACCACAAACCAATGCGTGAAACAATTTTTATTGAATTCCATGAAGTCCAATCGTTGATGTCAACGATTTAACGCATTTTACTATTTTTTTTTTAACGTTCATACATCATATTGCATGGACATATATTTTTTTTTATAGTTTGTTTATATGGTACTACCATAGACCTTATACGTGTAAGTATCAATAGATGGCCTATGGGAACTATACATTCATTCAGCTGAAACGTAGTGTTCAAAATTCGGGTAAGATGACGGTGACTGTAGTGTCAAACTGACTTGAACAAGTCTACCGTGAGTTTCGTTTTAAAACGCCTTCATTAAAAACATTTTAAAATATGTAGAAAAGGACTATACGATCGAGGTGTAACGTGCAATTCTATGTCTACACCATATACCAGTATATCCCGATAAATGGCTGTGTAATTGAAGGATGTTTGGGGATGATGTTCTCCACGAGTCTCTGTTAAGTAATTATGCTCTTGGAACGCAGTTTTCAAATCGTTGCGTTGAATTCCTTTAGTTAATTGTTTTCAATCCGAACACTGCATAATATTCATCAAAAATAATCATCAAACAATAGCTATATCATCTAGTACTCCAGACAGTACATAGTCATTTCGTCAATTTCGTAGACCACCTATTCGGTTAAAATTTCGAAGACGATTTAAATGCATTGTATCCAAGTTTTTAATAACAACTGTTCAAAACTGCTGTAAGACTTACACCTGGGTACAATGATGTGAAATGTGATATTTTTTTAAATTTGTATAACTCAAAGTTGTTAGTGTTCTAGTTCATTTTTATCAATATGTATTGAGGAAAACAATTTTTAATGTGTTACGTAAACGTATAAAAAAAAATGTATTTACTTATAAACTTAACTACTAATAATTTATTAATAATAACCAATATCTATTAGTAGTCTCTCAGTAATTTAAAACTGGTTTCTGACTCAATATTTAAATTGTGTTCAAGATTTTACTTAAATGTAATTTTTACTAACGTATTAATTATGTGTGTATCTTTAATTAAATATTTCAAAAAAATAATCATAGCATGTAAGTATGAGCTGTTAAAATTATATGTGTACTTTTTTAATTGCATTTTATCTAATAAAATATATATGTTTATCAATAAAATGAAAGTTTTATTGTTTTAAAAACAATAATGATTTTAATTTTCGTATTACTCTCGTTTGTAATTTTTGTCGTTCTCTTTAACACAATTTTATTGCTTAAATATAAAATATAAAAATGAGTGTAATATTTGTAATTATTATTTATTATCACATTTTTATTTAGGCGGATTATCTACTTCGTGGATTGCCAAAATATACAGTACACATAATCAATATTAATATACATTGTTTGACTGTAGAAATATAGAAATTTAGCTTAATATTAAAATTAATTATCTAATGAAAATAAGACTTAAAAAAAATAGAGTTATTATAAATAAAAAATAATTTAATTTAATTCTAATTCAAAATATTAGAATAACTTCCATAAATAATTATTACAATCATCCGATTGAATGTATTTAAAAAATCATTTCTGTATGCTGAATTGTACATTTATTTAATTGTAAATTTACCGCTGCCTATGATTATAAGAAATTGTTTTCAGAATTGTTTAATTCATTTATACCAATTTTATTAAATTGCTAGTAAGTACAGTAATACAATTATTTAACTATCGACATAGACGTGCTAAGTTACTAAAACAAGTTAAATTGAAATATTAATTACTACCTATTATATATTCGTGCATAGCACATACCTACTATCCTTAAATTAAGAATGTTATGAATTCATGATTGCGACACTACGACTAGTCGCGGTTGTTAAATTCTATAATTATGAAATAATAATGTAATATTATAATGTGT